AGGCGATCGATGTCCATAGATGAGAGTAACATCTACGACACTTTACGGCCCTGCCCACTTTTGGGGGAAACCAACGCTGTCATTTGAATGGCGATCAAGCCTGAAGCCCCTTCTTTTACTGTCCTTTTTTCTTAGAGGAAGTACAGAAACACTGAACTCTGGATTTGTTTTAATGTTTGAGGTGCAATAAATGACACAGCAGCTTTTTGGCATGATAAAACAATTGTTTTCAGCCTCGCTCATGAGTGTAACAGCCGGCGAAAATTACAGCCTCGCCTACTGATTTGAATTTAACCATATATCGAGCCCGATTGTCGATTTCAAATGATTTAATGTAATTGTTTGCCTGACTGGCCATCGTAATCGGGCTCTTTGAAGATCCAAAAATCCACGTTTTTTCTTAAATTTCTGATCGGATTGGCAAAAACTTCAGAATTTGTATTGACCCCCATTCAAATGGCAGCGTTGTTTTCCCCCAAAAGTGGGCGGGGCCGTCATTTTCGCCGAGAAGTGACGTAGGTGTTACTCTCATCTATAGCAAAAAGGAAATGTTCCGCATCACAAATACTGTTGTTTACTTTTCAGACTCCCAACACATTTGCTGTGTGCACAAAACACAGAGGAATCCTCCTGCAGGCCAACAACGAGAAAGACATGAACGACTGGCTGTATGCTTTTAACCCCCTGCTGGCAGGAACGATAAGGTACGCACAGACACTTCTCTTACTCTTCCCTTAGCAGGAAGCTTTGTTGCCATCTTGTCACAACACTCAACTCTGTTCCCACAGATCTAAGCTGGCGAGGAGGCGCGGTGGACCGATTAAGAACTGAGTGGGTCGAGCGGCACGCAGAAAAACAACGGCTTCCTCTCTTTCTGGAAAGCCTTTTGAACAAACCGAGTGTTAACACTTATTAATCATTGTGATTCTTGACAGTTTTCTCTTGTAAGTAGACTTGTGGCTTGAGTCTCCTTTCATGCGACTAAAAGTTTCAGTTCCAGATAAATTTGCCTCCCCCGCTCCCTCCCACATCCCGATGCCAACTTAGCCTTCCTCCTCTCTATTTCTCTCCCCCTGCTCCTCCGCTTTTTGTGTTTTCGTTTTTATAACAATGTTTGGGTCTAATTTGATTTGCTTTGTTGTCACTCCCTAACTCCCTAACTAGTAGCATGTTGTAATAGTCTACTTGTGTGTGCACGATTCTTCAGAAACGGTTCTTTCTGGACACTAATTTTCAGTTTGCCAATCATCTGTAAAGAAATTGTCTATATCAGTGTTATCTGTCTCCACAGAAGAGTTTAACTATTTTTTCTTATTAATATGCCCGCATGATAACTGCAGCAGTCCTCAGGAGAAAACCAGTTTTGCTTACCTAAAATAAATGTAAATCAGATAACTTAAAGTTTAAACCATGAAAGGAAAATATACAAATATCTCCTAAGGTGACGTATCAGTTCACGTTCTGCTACAGAAGGCAAGGCTACTTCAAGATCTATTGCTGCTAATGAATTCATAGGTTTTTCTTCTCTTAATGAGATTTGCAATAGGATGCCCCCTGTAGCTCCCCTCTGCCGTCTACTAAACAACCTTTAGAAGCAAAATGTCTGAAAATTGTGTCTCAGCAAGACCTTAGGCAGCGCTGGGTTCCTACTGTCATCCATGTAATATATAGACCCCGCCCAGTCCGTGCACATTCACCATCGCCAACCCCTATAGTGCCGTCAGCCAGTGATTTCTTACAATCATGCATTTGTGTCAACATCGAAAATACACGCTAACATGCAAACATGTGTAAAGAACATTTCATATCCCAGCAGTGAAAATGTGACAATGGATTGTTCCTGCTAGAAGTAGATATTTGTCCCTGTCCTTTTGCTATTTCATCTCAAGGAACAGGTTTTGTAGAGGAGGAGGAAGACGGATAGTACTCTAAAGTGAGAATATGATTTGTACATAACGTCTGTACTGGAATCAGTGTGGTAGTTCACTCAAATTGAAGACATTCCTCTAGGCTCCTCTTTCCTTACACTAGGATGTTGAGAGTATTTAGTTAACCATGCCGTACTGTACTTGTGATACCGAAGACAAAACAACACCTGGGGAAAAGCGAGTAAGAAAGAGAATGAAGTTGCAATGCTCTAGCCTTGAAGATAAGTGATGAAGCTGCTAGCTCATAGCCTGCAGGACAGATAGTGAACGGTCCCATGACTCCCCTCACTGTCATGATAGTGAAGTACTTACTGTTCATCAGCACCACAGGTTACCACGTGTTCATTTTCTATTTGTGTTCTTGAATTTAAACTCATCTAACTCATTGGGTTGACATTTCTTTCCTTTTTTTAAATTATTAACATTGTTTTTTTTTTGTAATATGCTTTTAACCATTCCACAGTGAAGTTTTATACGAGATGTAACAGAGGGCATTGATTTCTTGAGTTGTAACCAGCTTTACTTGTGTTTAACCTTATTTTGCACATTAACACATATCTATAGCAAGACAAGGGCAGATCACACATGTTGAGTCCAAGATTATTTCTGAGTATCAGGAACACTGATTAGAGCACATATCGAGGCTACACTGGATAGCTATTTATGAGAAAGAAAGAAGTGATATTTAAAGGGACGACATGTACACAAAGGTTTTATTGCTGATATTGTTTGTGGAAATATTTGCTCTGTACAAAACAGCTGCTACAATTGGCTCAAAAATAAAGGATGCCTCTGTCTCTTCAAATGGTACAAGTGTGATACAGCAGGGCAATAAAAACTCTGGCCAACCAACCAGTAGTAGCCCAGTGTATATTATGTAAAGACATTAGGGTTGAGTGGGAGGAAACAGAGGTAGTCATCGCCTGTTACAAGTATCAGTGGAATTATTAGGTATGTATCTTCAATGTTTTCTAAAGTATAGAAAACATTTGCCTCAGAAGTCAAAATGAGTGACCATTTCAGAGCGTCACTGCCCTCTGGTCGGCCAACCTGACCGTCAGAGAAACAAAAAACTTTTGAAATTGAAAGAAAAAAATGGTCTGTCTAGAAAAATAGTAATGAACAACCATCTATGCACTGATCAGGCTCTAAGTGCAACACATTAACCTCAGCGTACTGTGGGAGATATCAACATGAAGACCTGTCGGAGCAAACATTTTCACTTTGCTGACTATTTTGCAGAGGTGTATTATTTTGGATTGTGTATTTATTGTTTGCAATGTAAATATTAGTTTGCAGCTCTTTGCACATATTAATAAAAGGTTCAACTAACTGATCAAATAAATTCTGTGCGGTTTAGTTGTTCTACTGAGTGAACCAAATGACGGTGGGGCAGCCTCTTCTGGTCTGAACTGGGAGAGCGTTGAATGTACTATGAAGTGTTTCTCCAGCGTTTGAAAAAAAAAAGATGAAAAGAGAACTAATATGTTTCTCACTGCCTCTTTTTCAGAGGAGGTGAGTTACATTAGTGCTTCCTCTTTATGAGAAAGTGGTTTGATTGAAAGTTTGCTTTGGACTTTAAGAATATTTACTACAGCCACTTCAATTATAACAAAAACAAGAGTGGTTTTAACTCCTTTTATTTTTTTCTAATATCAGGGAATATAATACAAAGTAGCTCGTGACATCTTAAAAGACAGTTTAGTAATGTTGTGCTGGTGTCTTTCTTCACAACACTGTTTTTTTGTTTTCTTCCGTTGATGCCTTGCAAAACAAAACTACCCATGATATTCTCCATCTCCCCTCCTGACATTATAATATTAGTTTACTGCGTTCCCTCTGGATTCGTTCACAAAAGAAAACGACAAACCACGACATTAACACTGTACATTATTTGTTAGACTGGTTTCATTTTCATACTTATTTTGTAAATATCCGTGTTGTATGGAGCTTGAATTAAAATGTAAATATGTTTACTGTATTTGTAATAATTATAATCCATTCGCTGTATAGCATAGATGTGTCATGCAGATATCCTAATTCTGTGTATGGTAATCTTGCACCATTGAACTGTTTAGTGAATGAGGCAACAATAAAAGTGCAAACTGTGCATTAGCAGAACAAGTGCTGTGTGTTTGTCTTATCCTTTATGCAGGTTGACTCCCATCTGTTTGTGTTTTACATGGTACGCATTCCTCATACCTGTGTGCTTTAAAAGCATCTTTAGCAGGAACAAAAATGTGGTTTGCATAGTAACTTTTATTTATGTTTGGTTTTAACATTTTATTTCTTATTTTGGACAAAATCAATCATGTCTCTTAATTATTACTTACTGTAATAACCTGTGTTTTTGTGGCAAAATCTTAAAATGAATTGCCTCTAAATCTGAAAGGGAGAAATTACCCCTGATTGTAGGTGAAAATAAATATTGTACTCTGTTGACTGCAATACGTGCCAGAGCAAAACAGACAAAACTGTAGGAAATAGACATAAAGACATTTATAGATGTAATAGTTGTTTCAATATTCAATTTACCACCATATCTCCCTTAAGTTATTTTTAGATTTTAAGGAAATTAACAATGTAATTGTACCAACACTAATTGCATTTACTATTTTCATTATTTTTTTTAATAACTAGTATTGTTACTCACTGTTGCTTTTGATGCTTTGGCAACTCAAGTCAAACGTCATGCCAATAAAGCCTATTCTATTATCTGGAAGGTAAATGTACCTCAGCAATGTAGTACAAGTATAAGTACACGTTAAGTACGGCACTTAATTAAATAACTGACATTAGCTTGATTTGGACACAAATATCTGTGTTGCTGTCCCGATAGCTACACAGCTTTTGTTAAATATATACGGCTCTCCAACCATGGATGCATTAACTCTAAAGAGGGTGTGCTCTGACGTATTATGTGTGACGGGCGCTAGGGCCAATAGGAGAACGAATATCTCTGCTCAGGATTTTGGACCAATGAGAATTCGCAAAAACATCACTTCAGTTTGCTGGCCGTAGTCTGATTGGTGAATACTGTGAGAAGGCGTACGTGAGCTTACCCTCGCCGTCGTCACGTTGAGGAAGTAAAACGAGCGAGCAGGAGATATATGAAGTGAAGAGGAGCTGACAGTCATTTGACCAGTGTTACTTCACGGCTTCCTAACCCTCTGAAAACCATGGCTCAGTAAGTTCTCAGACTAGTTTTTACTTATCTAGATAGTCGGTTAATTTCGAAAGGTTGTGGGTGATGCGTGTGGTTGAATCATTGTAGACTTTGTAGTGGTTTCATTTGTTTTTAAATAATCTTCCTGATTAGTTAGCTTGTTGGCTAACCAGTTTTACTGTTGAGTAGAAATATATGTAACAAGACTTTCAGCGTGAAAATAACCCAAAAAGCCTTGTTTATGATTTTGTAAAAAATAGATTTTAAACATACGGGTTCAACATGTATATTGTTTCAAATGTATTTCATTTGAAAAAGTCAGATATTATGATGGGAAGCTTTATTAAAGTCGTTGTTGATGCTCAGTCTGTGACCAGACAGACGCCCAGTAAATGTGATTATTTCTCTTCTCCTCACAGAGCAGACATTGCACTCATTGGTTTGGCTGTCATGGGCCAAAACCTCATCATGAACATGAATGACCATGGCTTTGTGGTAAGATGGTGACTTATGTGTTTTGTCCAAATATATATGGCAGTAAAACTCGTTCTACTTTACTCTTCTTAAGTTCACTCAGTGATCACCAAGCCTTTCCTCCAACAGGTCTGCGCCTACAACCGAACTGTGTCCAAGGTGCATGACTTCCTGAAAAATGAGGCGAAGGGCTCCAAGGTGATTGGAGCTGAGTCTCTGGAGGACATGGTGTCCAAGCTGAAGAAGCCCAGGAGGATCGTCCTGCTGGTTAAGGCTGGACAGGCTGTGGACGACTTCATTGACAAACTGGTTGGTATAGTTTCTGTGCTGAACTGTGCATGAATCCCTTAAGAAAAAACGAGTCTTATCTGGTTACTTCAACTGGCTTTGTTCTTCAGGTTCCTCTTCTTGAGTCCGGGGATATCATCATCGATGGTGGCAACTCTGAATACAGAGACACAACAGTAAGTTGCACAGAATCACTGTTGAGCAGTACATTGTTTTCTCTCTTTGGATTTTCTCATTATGTTCGTTTATTTCTGTCGTACAGCGGCGGTGTCGGAGTATGAAGGCAAAGGGCTTGCTGTTTGTTGGCAGTGGAGTCAGTGGTGGAGAGGAGGGGGCACGCTATGGACCCTCACTGATGCCGGGAGGACATAAAGAGGCCTGGTAAGACAGCATAAACTTCTTAACTGCTCTCACTTTCACTTCACGCTACATGTTGGACAAAAGGCACAGACGTGGTTAGGAAAAAAAGGAAACAATTAAATCACTTTCTGCTGCTTTATTTTGAAGGCCACACATAAAAGACATCTTCCAGAGCATCGCTGCCAAGGTGGGAACAGGAGAGCCTTGTTGTGACTGGGTGAGTTTTTAAAAATATTTTCTAAGTTGTACCAGTTGTTTTTGTGTCGTCTCACAAACTAAATCTGACTGGCTTGCTTGTACAGGTTGGAGATGAGGGTGCAGGTCATTTTGTGAAAATGGTCCATAATGGCATTGAGTATGGAGACATGCAGCTGATTTGTGAGGCCTACCACCTGATGAAGGATGTCCTGGGAATGGACCACGATGAGATGGCACAGGTTAGCTACACTGTCTATTCTTTATTAGTATTTTATGCTTCCTGCCAGCTCTTTAAAATCAACTGAAGATGATTTATGTGGCTGACTGTCTCATCACACTTGATAAATCCCTCAGGCTTTCGACAGCTGGAACAAGACAGAGTTGGATTCCTTCCTGATCGAGATCACAGCCAACATCCTGAAATTCCGCGACTCCGACAACAAACATCTGTTGCCCAAGATCCGCGACAGTGCCGGACAGAAAGGCACGGGGAAGTGGACGGCCATTTCAGCCCTGGAGTACGGCACACCTGTGACTCTGATCGGTAAGAAAAAGAAAGGAGGTTGTAGACAAGGAAGTATCTGGTTTCCTTCTCTCTTCTTCCAATGATGGCAACTTCCAGTAAGCTTGGTTTGTCATAAAATGACAAAGGACATTATGTCACAAATGAGCATTGAAAATACAGTTTACCTCTTTGTGCACCTGCATCATTGAACAACATGCAACATGTAAAGCTTTTACCCAAATTGCTCTTTACCGTTTTTGTTATACTTCCAGTTGTTGTAATTGATTCATTTTTCCTAAATGTAAATTCCTAAATGTAAATTGCTTAATGTATTACGTTTCTTCTGTGTTCCTTAGTGCCTAGGAATATTTTGGTTTTTATTATATTGTAAATGGGGTCACATTGTATTTTCAACTTTAAAAAAAGGTTGAATACATTCAAAACTGCATCAAAAAATGATAGGCCTAATAATGAGTTGTTTTGGCTGGTTTAGCATGGCCTGTGATCTTCTTTAAGAGAACGTGATGATATGTGGCTGCCACTAAGAAGATTGAAGGCTTTCCTAGTGGGCTGCGCATCTTAAGTGACATAAGGGGGATTTGTGATACTTTCCTCAGCTTTGCTCTTTGCTCTGAACGTCTCTGTTTTATAAACAGCAATGGACAAGGAAGTCATGTAGCAAGAGTAATTATCCAGAACAAAAGGTGTCATAATTGTATGTCCTGTGCGTCTAAACAGATACTTTTAATGCGTAGTGTAACTTAAAAGGACATGCATGATACACTTTTAGTCAAAGTTCAATCATGCAGAAACGTGCCTGTCACCAAATCCCTGCAACCACTAGATTTCTTTTTTTTTTTATATTTGTTTCCTCAATCCCTCGCAGTGCTGTATATAAAGAGAGATAGAGGCATTACAAAGGGCTTCATTGTGTGAGAGCTGATCCAGTGTTTGTGGAGCAGGCTGACAGGCCGGTACAGTGTGCATGGTTGGATTTCTACCCCCAACAGGGGACATTTTCTCTCTGACCCTCTGCCCCTTGGTCTGAGGATTGCCTCACCTGGCAGAGCTGCTCTTTGGCGAGTCATGCTGACTGACCAGTTGCTTTCCCCTTATCTTGATACAGCGGTGATTATAATTCTCCATTGCAATGTCCCCTCTGGCACTGAAGTAGAAGTGGCAAGCCCTGTTTTTTAAAACTGTGTCGTCACCTCTGCTGAGTCATGCTGATCCTTGGGAATTGTTTCCATGTCAGCATGATGTGGCTATGGCCTGGGTTAGCCTAACCTGTGACATCATTTGTTGTGAGGTGACAGGACTATTAAATAGCTGTTTACCAAGCTGTTCTTGTGTGAAGCTCCAATAAAGTGACGTGTTTAGAGAGCTAACTTTGTTGTCCCTCTCTGTGCCTCCTCTCTCCCCCCCGCTCCCCCTCTCTCCCCCCCCCTCTCTGTACTTCAGGGGAGGCTGTCTTTGCCAGATGCCTGTCCTCTCTAAAGGATGAGCGAGTGGAGGCCAGCCGCAGCCTCTCAGGGCCACAGGGGGTCAAATTCAGCGGGGACAAGGCTGCCTTCCTGGAGGACATTAGAAAGGTAATACAGTGAAACACACACCCAGTTGCCATTTATTAGGAACTAAGCTAAATGTAATTGAATATAAACAGTCTTGAAATACATTCAGTTTCTATTGAAATTGTTATGGAGAGAATAGATGCTTCTAGTTTACAATTTCATTTTTTACCAGAAACATTTTCAAGCGGTCAAGAACTTTCTTTTTTATGAATGCCAAATATTATATATGTAGATGATGATGATAATAATAGATTCAATTTTTATAGCGCCTTTCAAGGGACTCGAGGCCGCTTTACTTGCTGTGAACAAACAAACAAACAAACAAGTGGGGCAAATAATAAAGTAAAACATTAAATAAATAGCAGTGGAAGCAGGGGGACTGTGATGGGTTAGGGGTCAAATTGTGACCAGGTGAGTTTTCGATGACGACTTGAACATTTGTTTTTACAGTGACCAATAATCATTTAAAATAGTAACATTTTGAATCAAAGATTTTGACATTTTTGAAAACTAAAACGTTAAACCATCCTTCTCTCTCCAGGCCCTCTACGCCTCCAAGATCATCTCCTATGCGCAGGGCTTCATGTTGCTGCGGCAGGCGGCTAAAGAGTTCTGCTGGTCCCTGAACTACGGCGCGATCGCTCTGATGTGGAGAGGAGGCTGCATCATCCGAAGGTGCCATTAACCTCGTGTGTCCTCATACCTCTGCTGCCTTGTGCAACTTAATGTCAACAGGCTTATTTCATATTGATGGTGTAAACTGTGGTTAGGCAGTGCAAGAGAGACTTCTTGAGAAAGCAAGACAATTCATACATTTATTTTATTGATGTATTTTACTTTGTAAGATTTTAAATGTTGAATAATTCTATGTACTGAGGGTTAGGTCTTCCATACGTTTTAATTCAATTCTTAATAGCACCCTATAGGAAGTTGTGATTTCTATTTTGTCACTGCCCTGTGTGTCATGATGGAGTTAGAAATCTAGATGAAAGAAATACGACCCTTTCTTTAAAGATTGAGGAAATTGTGGGTTTGCGTTGTGTAATCTGGTAAATAAGTTGTGTAAACCTTAATCAAATATAATACTCAGTATGACTTGCAATTTGTATTCACCATTCAAACTGTATATCTTTTGTAAATACATTTTTAGATAAGCTAGCTAAGATAGTTCCTTCTATGAGCTGAATCTTATTTTCACCACCGTTAGCTAACGCTATCCTTTCCCCCCCCCACCAGTGTCTTCCTGGGTGAAATCAAAGAGGCGTTTGACCGGGACGCTGAGCTGCAGAACTTGCTGCTGGACACTTTCTTCAGTAACGCGGTGCAGGACTGCCAGGTATGAGGAAGTAACCGAAGACCACTCTCCAACACCCACATTGGCAAAGACACACAAAATAAGTTACTTCCTCTTTGTCAAAGAGTAAACGGCTCTTCTTGCTGCATTCACACCAAACCAGGTGTCGCAACTTTTCTCAGGGTTGTGTGGCACTATGGGGCTTTGATTTCGTCATTGGCCTCCTCAGTGTGACGTTGGGTTGCGCAAACTCGGTATTTCTAAAGCGTTTCAGATAAATTAGGCTTCACTTTTAGAATTAGTATTATATTATTATTGGCTGCGTAGGAATGTTTCCGACTTTTGTGAACAAGTATCTTAGCATTGCCAATAACTCCATGAGTCCATATTCTGCTTGTAACACAAAGGGAGGGAAAAACTGACAAGTTATATTTAAAAAAAATTTTTTTTTTTTTTTTATATAAAACAATTTACTCTAATTCAATTTGAGGTATTATTAATTGAGGATTATGCATGAGGATTTTTCTGTGATGACTGTTAAATACGACGACAGTCTTTTTTGAAAAACAAAACATTTGGTACAGCCCTCATCAGTCACATCAAATTACATTATCTTGATGAAAATAAAGCAGTTTTGTAACCCTTGTAATCTCTTTGTTTAGGATTCATGGCGCAGAACCGTGAGCACTGGAGTGCAGCACGGCATCCCGATGCCCTGTTTCACCACAGCTCTGTCCTTCTACGATGGGTACAGACATGAGAAGCTGCCAGCCAACCTCCTGCAGGTAACACGACAGCTGATGCTGCACCGCAGAGCCCACTGAGCGTATGGCCGAGTGTAGAGCATATCAGATTAAAAGGCTAGCGTGCAGCTGTTGTTTGTGTTGGGATCTTTGTCCAACACTTGTATTAATTGTATTATTACATTGAATTTATAATGCACTTTCTCAGTACTCAAAGACACTCTTTTTAAACTATTTTACTCCTCTGTCTTTGGACTCTATTGGAATATATTTAACTACCTTGACATTTTACATTTAGCTAAATTCCAAATATTACTGGTTTAACAGCACTATTTACCAGTTTTAACAGTAGTTAAATTAAGCATTAGTATCTCTGCTACTGTGTCATACTTAGTTTTCATGTTTTGTCTTTTATAGGCCCAGCGAGACTACTTTGGAGCCCACACTTATGAACTGCTGTCAAACCCTGGTAAACACATCCATACCAACTGGACCGGCCACGGTGGAAATGTCTCCTCATCCTCTTACAATGCTTAAGGATCATCTTCACACAACACCAAACACAGAAAAAAAGGAAGAAGAAAATATCTGAGAAAATAAGAAATGTTACACATTCCATCTTTAGAAAATGCCTCAATATTTAAGAGCTAACTACAAATCCAACTCTTTATTCCTCTCAAATATGTGCTGTTTTATTTATCAAGCATTGGAATCATAAATGATGTGTGTCGTGAACTCTACACCCTGTGTTTTTTGGTTTAGCGACTTTTATTACAGTCACAAGAGGCTAAGCAAAATAAGTTTTGACTTTATTCTGGATATTATGCTGGCTAATGTTCACATGTCATGTTTGCGCCAGGGTTTACGGTGTTAACACTGGATTAAGGTGAACCATTGCACTGTACTGTATTAGGCTAAATAAAGATTGTAATCCCTTTATTATTAGCTTGAATGGTCTTTACACTCTGGGTGCTGTCAACAGGATTGGGATGTGTTTGTGTGCAGCACTAAATAAGGCAACAAGTGACATAAGTTGCCTGATATGTAAAACAGGATATTCAGTGTCTGGTGATATACACTTTGAATCACTGGCTTATTCAGGGTGTATCAATACATGTCTGAAGTAATAGTTTTCATATACAGTGAATACTAATATATCATTATAAATAGGAATATATAATCATACAAGCTAACAATGCCAACCTCCCCTACAGCTGTACAATCCTTTTAATGGCTATTTCAGTGAGATCAATGAAAACAAACAAAGGTCAGCACACTATAGCCCCCTTAAGTGCAACTTATTAGCTCATCCACAAGTGACGCTTCAAGCTGAGGCTCTTCTTCAGACTTAAGCTTGGAAGGTAACTTGTTGATCTGCTAAGATACTGCACTCATGGGAGCTACATTGGTCAGCGTTTTTTGACGAGCATAACTACTTTATTTGATACTTCAGGGGTGACAAATACATCTGGTGACAAACAGTATTGGGATACTTCCACCAGATTTTTTAAATTCAAGTTAAACTGGCTTATTAGAAAAGTATGAACGATTCTCACAAAATCTGGAAATCCTGCTTTAAAAATTGTCCTTTGCAAGACTACTTAATTTAAATTTCCATTCAGGTTTAGGGGTTAGGCTATCCAGCTAACAAACAGGGGTATAATAAAGATGTTAGTGCTAATGGGTTGCAATATATGAAATGTTTACTGAACATTTTATGTATTGTGTTTTAAGTGATTGTCCAGCAGGTGGCCCTTAAACCCTGACAAATGTTTTCTTTACACACTGAAAGTAATTCAAAATAATTGAAAACTTGGGCTAATACAACCACAAAGTTGCTTATGTGAAGACAAGTTAAAGTAATATAACATGAAGAAATAATATATGGACATATAGCACAATAATCTTGGGTTATGAATTAATTCTGTTTTCTCAATGAAAAGCACACTCCTCATGATAAATCAATGTAACATACATTCATCAGACATCCCTGTAGCCTACATATGCTTAGCTTAGTTTGTCCTACAAAGGAAAGATGTATATTACATGATTGTGCAGTACAAAGTTGAGGTTTTACAAGCAGGAGACATCAAATTAATCATAAAAAATGGGCTGGGGCTGAGACTTGAGACTGTTAAAACAAGAAGGTATAGAACTTTAATTTGAAAATGCTGTATACGGCTCACATTTGAAGTATAATGCTAAAATCCAATTTGCTTCCATTGAGGAAACTCACATGGGCAGTATGACTTATTTGTAGGTAAGTGGGCACTTCTGCTTGGCCCTTTCATGTAATCTTGAATATTTCTAAGATGCTCTTAAGTCACAGTCTCATAATATTCACAAATGTCCAGTTCTTCATTGAAATATAATGGTAACAATGGCCAACATTTCCACTAATACTGTCACAATGTACTAAATAGCAACAAAAAATAGATTAAACATATTTACAACAGCTGGAAATCGGTCTCAAATGTATTAAATATTCGTCAGTGTTATTTCTCAGTGCGCACCTTTTGTTTGGGCTCTTTGGGTGAATTGAAATGGTAATACTTCAATGGGGAAACCACGACCTTTTAGCTTTGCCCATTGCAAGAAAGAAACACGGAAAATACAAGAAGGTTGACCATATTACACTTCAATATATTTAAAAAAAGAAGAAGAACGATAACCCGATGACCCGAAGTCAAACTAATACTTAATGTTTTTAATTAAAAAAATGTTGACATCCCTACGAAAACCAACAATGTACCCGCCCAACTGAATGATCTCATGGCTACAAAGTGCGCAGCCATTTTGTTAGCTAGCTTGAGGTTACAGAGGGTAGCCGTATTACTGCTGCAAATATTCTCCGTGGCCTTTACGATTTATATACCTAAATCTCACCGAATACATTATTGTGTCGGTGTTGTTATTTGTGTACAATTTCCGGCCACAAGCTCATTGACAAAGAGGACGACTCGTGTCTCTGATGACGGTAAACAGAGCGCGAAACTGAATTGTCATTCATTTTTTAAGCCAGCTTTTTAGCTAGCAAGCTAACTTGTTTACGCGTGCTGCAAGTGGAGAAGAACATAACGTGGTTTTCATGGCCGCGGGATATTGAATGTTAGAAAGCTGTTGAGTGAGTGTTAGCGTTTCACACGGTTTGTCTCCGTCCGTCTGTCGTGTGCATTTTTGGTGCGTCACATTAACAAACTCGACGCTACAAACTCGTGTGCATCGTCCCTGTGTTTAGCTTTAGCTCAGTTAGCTGCCTTCACTAGCAGCGACCAGCCAATACGTGACCATGTCCGAATTGTACATTCGCGTGGCCGAGGATGAAAGCGAAGAGCCCATGGAGATCCCCTCAGAGGACGATGGGACCATATTACTGTCCTCGGTAGCAGCACAGTTTCCAGGGGCGTGCGGGCTGCGGTACAGGAACCCGGAGTCCCAGTGCATGAGAGGGGTCCGGCTCGTGGAGGGGGTCCTGCATGCACCTGAGAACGACTGGGGAAACCTGGTGTATGTTGTCAATTACCCCAAAGGTGAGATGATGGTGTTAATGGCTTGGCCTTTCACAATAATATTATGTCTTACCAAAGTTACTTACTATATTGAACATATTTTATTTAGCAATACTTGCTTTTATTTAATTATGTACACCAACGTACTTGGCAATTAACTTTGTTATGATTCCAACATGGTATGACCACAAATATGTTGCCAACCCTGTCCATAACGACTCAAATGCTGCTATTTTTAATGCTCAGCAAGCTACAACACAAATTAAATCCTACCTACATGCAGGTAGAATTTTAAATGGGGTTGGTATAAATATTGCAAACACCTTTTTAATATAAACCTCTGGTGCATCTTTGGTTTGAATTGTATATTAGTTTTACATGTGATTGGCTCTTTTTGTTTTTCCTTGTGTAACTCATCTATTTATTCTCCACAGATAACAAAAGGAAGATGGAAGAAATAGATGCTGCCTCGGCTGTAAAAGTAAAAAGGGGCTTTCAGAAGACGTCAGATCTCATTGTCCTCGGGCTGCCGTGGAAAACATCAGAACAAGACCTGAAAGATTATTTCACTACCTTTGGCGAGGTCATCATGGTGCAGGTACAGACAACACGCCTCACTCTGAATATCTTTGCCGTCATTTCTTTGTCAGGCTAAGAGTGTAATAATTATATCTGGTTTTGTAAAAATTGGTATTTAAAGCTTGTATGTCTTCTGTATTTGCTCCAGGTCAAAAGAGATTTGAAGACTGGCAACTCAAAAGGATTTGGGTTTGTCCGGTTCACTGAGTATGAGACACAAACCAAAGTGGTCGCTCAGAGGCACATGATTGATGGACGATGGTGTGACTGCAAACTTCCCAACTCTAAGGTATTTTGGTCACCATTTTTAGCACATTGTATTGTTAAGAATCTCATTGTACAAATAAGTAAGATTTTCTTTGGATCATGGGTCAGTTGATTAGTTATTGGTAGTCAGTATCTGGATTTTTGTTGTTGGACATTTCTATTTAGCCATGCACATGAATATTGAGTTATTTTCCCTATTCATAATGTTGGTTAGAATCCGACCTGAAAAAACACAACAATCATGTAGATGGCCGAACTTCCCACTGTGCCTCTTTTCCTCTCAGGCGGGTCCCGATGAGCCCATGAGGAGCCGAAAAATCTTTGTCGGCCGCTGTACAGAGGACATGACCACCGATGAGCTGAGGCAGTACTTCATGCAGTATGGTGAAGTCACTGATGTCTTCATTCCAAAACCTTTTCGGGCATTTTCCTTTGTTACGTTTGCCGATGACCAGGTAAGATTCACTATAAAGTGTTATAAGTTGCAATATAAATTAAGGGTATAATAGTGACTGTAGTGATAATCTTCTCCTAACACTTTTCTCAGGTTGCCCAAGCCCTGTGTGGAGAGGACTTGATCATCAAGGGCATCAGCGTGCACATCTCCAACGCTGAGCCCAAACACAATAATAGTAGGCAAATGATGGATCGAGGGCGGTTTGGGGCTGGTGGGTTCAGTCAGGGCTATGGCAATAACCGTGGAGGGCTAGGCAGCGGTAGTGGGGGGGTTAACTTTGGGGCTCTCGGCCTTAACCCGGCAATGGTGGCGGCTGCCCAGGCAGCGCTGCAGAGCAGTTGGGGGATGATGGGCATGCTGGCTAACCAGCAGGGTCTGACCACGGCGGCAGGCACAGCCACTACGGCCCGAGACCCCACCTATAGCTCCTCCAGCACCAGTTACAGCAGCCCCAGCTCAGCCAGCCTCGGCTGGGCGGCAGGCACCAACACCCCCTCCAACAGTGGCTTCAGCTCCGGCTTTGGCACCTCTATGGAGTCTAAGTCTTCTAGTTGGGGAGTGTAGATAGCTTGAAGCTTTTCAGTTGCTATTAGGCTAATCTGGTAAGTATACCTACAGCTGGGGACTGCTTATATCTTATGTTCCTATTACTAAAATATACTGCCTTTTATTTTGTTAAAGAGAAAGTTTATACTTGCGTGTGACTGATAATGTAGTCATGCATTGAATGGGTGAAAAGTTTAGTTTGTTAGTGGAAACTGCCACACTCCATTTTTTTTTCTTTTTTTTTTAGAAAATGTTAAAGAGAGATGACTGTGCATGCGAGATAAATATTTATAAACATGCACGAGTATCTCGAGAGCCCCTCATCCCCTTTGTAAAACGGGCTTATTATAATTGTATATCTGTATGCAGTTGATTGCTTATTTTGTTTGTTTTTGTTGTGGTCTTTGGAAACGCCTTCATGAAAATCTCTTCTGCAGTTCACCAACTTTTCCCCAATTTCCCGGGAGGAAGCGCCTCATTGGCAGCAATGTTCGACCGGTCTCAGTATCAATTCCCCTCTTCCCATGTGTAAATGCTTTGCCATCAAAGAACACAGCTTCACTCTGCATATACTGTGTTAGACGGTGGGTGTTGTCTTTTTTCCTCTCACCTTTTTATGGATATAGAAATCTTGTCTGCTCTTTTCACTTCTCAAGCTCAATGAGTGGGATTGATGTTGGACCGAGTGAGTGAGCGAACGGGAGAGCAAAATGAAAGAAGTGTGAGAAGGACTGTTTGTGCATTTTTTTTTTTTTTTTTTAAAAGAAACAAATGCCTGCGAGAGTTGAGAAGAACCAGTGGCTTTGTGCGAGTGTGAGAGGAAGAAGCAAGTACGAGTGTGCCCCTAATGACATCACAAGGACATTTATCGCGTCTTGAGATCCCTTATGGTCTCTGCTTTCTCTCATTGTTTTCTATCAACCTTATTAATTCTTTAAAAAACAGTGAAATGTCAAGTGCTATGAGTATATGTACGTTTTTTGTAGCTTTCTCTTGCTGTCTGATTTGATGTGAATGCTGTGTCTGGTTGTGTGCTTTATTTTTCTCCTTGTTACCACCCTTTCTGTGTGAAAATGTGACTTTGTGTTCGTGAAGTCTGTGTGGGGAAAACACTGAAAGTGTGTTGAAGTTTGAGGTTGATATGGAGAATGTTTGTCTGACAAGTTCCCATTGAAAGTTTGGGTTTGAAGTGGTTACGAATGCATTTTCTATGTTTTGTGAATCAAAGGGAAGTCTGAAATAAAACTGAATTTGACTAGGTATAATACAATCTTGACAGTGGCTTATTTTTGACGTAACATTAATTGAACTGCCAACACTTTAATTCACATGTATAGGGACCTCGGACACGGACAGCCCAGGTTTTCGTCTGAATCCGGGTTGGAGTCAGTTATGGAGAAGCTGAAGACATTGTTGGGGCACCGGCACAAACCAACAATGGAATTGCTGCACGACTGCCTTAATCCTGAAAAGGATCTTCTTCACCTCACTAGCAAGAAAACCTTGGACCATCACATAACCAAATTTAGAGCGGACCATCCTCAATTGGGCTGAGGTATTTGTTTATACCTACAAGGGTCACAAAAAGGACCAAAGTCACACCTGCAATTGGTAGTGGTCAGTTATTTTTCCAAATATGTGCAACACAAAGTCTGCCTTTTTAACCTACAACATGCATCTGTCAGTAAATGCTTTTCTTCTTTGTCCTCGTTACAGTCTAATAATTTAAGTATTACGTGGTAGGTTTATTTTCAATGTGATCGAAAATAATTTCAATAAGGCAGGATGTGTTGTTTTGTCTGTTCTGATTGTAAAGTGGTTGGAATGTTTAAGCTAAGATTTTCAAAGGGACTTAAAGAACTGATTGAACGTGCCAGCAGGAATTCACACTTTCTGTATTGAAATATTTTAGTATTGCGGTGTAAAATAAAGGTTTTGAGTTTTTAATTGCCTGTCGTCTTTCATATAGATTTATATAAGTATTTTATTCACCTGGCTCCACCTCTAGCTCCCTATCTTAAGGTGTTTCATGCCTTCAATACAATGCTTTTTTTCAGATATTGTATAGAAGGCATGGTTTGGTCCATTGGCTAAACTATGCCTAAATGAGTCCATGTTTGTAGTTATGCTGCTGGCTGTTGGCACGTGTAACGGTCTGCCTGTTGGTGCGGATGTGCTAATTTATAAAAGGTTTTGGGACAAGAATCTCGAATGACCTTATTTATCATGCAATATTTCCCCATTAACCTTTGGGCTGTGAACAGTTGGGAGGGTTGTGTTTTTCTATGCTTGTGGGGTAGTAAAAGTCCCTCTGGGATGCACAGCCGTGCTGAAGAGGCGTGTGGTTTGATGCAAACCTGAAATACATTCCTGCTGGATTTAAATAATTGACTGTATGTCAGTTTAAAATAAAAAAGATCAGATCATAAAACCTGTAGATAATTTTTCTATTACTCTAAATTAAATATAAAATCAGAATGTAAAGTTGTCGAAAAACATTTTTGTGTGTGAAGAAAGTGAGAAATTATAAAGTTCTGATTGGATTCATTCATTTAAAATACACATAATTTGTACAGATATCAATATGTTTTCATACAAAGGCTTTTTTTGCATTACATTTACTAGCAACAGACATCCCTTCATACCTTTAAAAAAAAAAGAACCTCGCTGCTGTGTGAACTCGGTGTGAATTGATTTGCTTTTTCATATTGATAGTAGGTTGAGTGGATCTTCCAAAACAGGGTCTTGCAGGTCTGTCCCGGAGGCGATGTGGTGTCTGAAGGTCCTCCAGCTTCTCTCTGAGGTATCTCTCCCCTGGGTCCATGCACTGTCCTTTAATCATTCCTGCTTCTGCTTCCTCTGCTCCTTCTGCAGTTCCTTCAGAGACAAACTAAGGTTCAACTCATTTGTTTTCAATCTTTCAAATGTCCAAGTGAGGATGCTGTTAATACCTAAAGAAAGAGAGGCCTGAGAATGCTTACAAGCCACCAACACAACTCAAATTGTATATATTATAGGGAATGATAATGATCAATGTTTCATTGATTGGTAACATAAATATGATCTCTGACAGGACTTAATATAAAGACCAGCTGGATATATCTCTCACTCTCTTGTGATGGCTGCTTTGTTCAATCTGCTGAAGATCAGACTTTGATACCTGATTTATTCATTTACTGCACAAGAGGTACAATAAGCCCAATAAAAAGACCACCAACAATGAATTGATGCTACTAACAAGTAATGTCTGTGTTAAAGCCGGATACAGTACCATAGACCTCCCTTGTTGTCAAGAAGCTTTTAGGAACACAGTGTTTCTGCACTGCAGTTTATTTCAGATTAAATACACCATCCAGCTGCCAGATATACTCACCTATGCAGCTATTACCAGAATTAATAAATGACCATCTACCACTTTTTGAGTTTACTAAAATGTATAATCTACCTATTTCTATGTCTATATCTCTAGTAGGCAACAATGGGCTTGGGCAGTATTGTTTATTTTAGAGTTAGGTAAGTCTGGGGTACCCTGTACATTTCTCATCACGTAGGTAACTAATGTTAGACACACTAAGTGGTTAGCGGATTATTGCCACCCCTGTATTTTGCTTTGTCCAGTTCTGAGTAGCTTAGTTAGTGAAGGTTTTTGTTTGAGTTTTGGTTTCAGAGGATAGATGTAGAGATAGGCCTGGTTTTGTTATACTTATTTCTTTTGTTTGGCACAATCTCCTTTGTCTCCTCCTCCTCCTCCTCACTTAAAGAGAATCTATGGTTAGCATTCTTTGTTGCACAAAGAATAAACCTTTTTGTTAACCTTTACGCTGACTCCCTCATTTTATTAGTTGTGTGTTATTGTCTCCAGGTCCCCTAGACCTTAGTGGGGACGTAACAGTCTTTACGTGCCTTAAGAAAATTAAAAGTGTAATGAGAATCTAAGATATACAGCAGTGCAAGTCAAAATATAGGGCTAAAATATAAACATAAATAAAAAAATATTTAATAACAAACACAATATTGTACCCACTTGCATTAAAGGGTGGTTGTTGACATCCACTCTCTGTTTATTGGTGTATCAGAAATCCAGGAAGTAGAGGATGTTTGATCTTGATGAAACCCATCAGCATGTGTTGTGCGCTCTTCCTCCGCCCGCTCCATTATGCATCATCAGACTGACTGGTGTCCCCTTGCTGCTGCTTTGTCCACAGATGACTCAGCGCCTCCTCCTCCGCCTGCACCGGGCTCTAATGGCCTCTCCTGCTCTAGTGCTACCTCCGCCTGGCATCCGGCCTCATAAAGAGCACAAGGCCATTAATTGTAGAGAATGTTCTGTCCTTTGGTCTCATGAAGCATTAGAGGGAGAGGGAGAGCAGCACAGACATTTAGTTTTCATTAACCAATGGGAGTATTCCTAACAATCAGAGTAGCAGTCATATGTAGAGGGCTCCCACTGCCTGGTTCTGGTGTGTGAAGTGTCTGGATGTAGTAAAGTGTATGAATGACAGTGTTTATATTGTTTGTTCTGCTGTGTTCCCCTTCAGGATCAAAGCTCTGACATGAGGAGTCGAACAAGGAGGTCTTTGAAGCGTCCCAGGACGGTTGAATAAAAGCCATCGCAGCACAGGTGCACTGAGGTGAGGCTTTGTTAACTGTGACAGCAGGTGTAAGAGCATCTGTGACGCACTGCTGTCAGGTGCAATGTCCCTCACTGCTCTGGGGGGCTTGTGGGGGTTGGGAAAGAAGTCTGTTTGTTTTAGCAGTTTGAGTTTTGTTTGGTTAGTTTATTTTTGTTTTATAAGTGATAAACGTATAAAGTAAAGTGAAACCAGCTAAACTAAACTGACATAAAAAGGTGTACACCTACCCTTTATACATGAATTATACTGTATCTATGATGTCTTTGAGTGTACAGCTAAAATGTACGAAGAGTGACACCCAAGAAATGTATTTCATTTTTGTTTTCTTAATACAGATTAAATAGCATACCACCATACATGATGTAAAAATGTTATTCCCTGTTTTGAAGTTTGATCTTTCTTTATTTGCCATACGTTTACAATTTCTGAGAGTTTTACAGGATATAAATGTGCTGAGTTATGATTAATATTTAGATAGACTTAACGTAATGTTTTTTCGAAATGTATTATAATAAGGTGAGAATCCAACACTCAACTGACCAGTGTGACAGCTACACACTTATTATGTGCAGCAAAACTTAAATCTTACATAACTCTATTTTAATATTTTAGTGGATACCCCACTAAGTTTCCGAAATGATGAACCATGGCAGGATACATTTAAAAAAAGATGTGCCTAAGAATATATAACAAATATTTGTATTTGATTGAATGGAGCCTTAAAACCTGTTTTTCACACATGCTGGAAACAATGATCATCCTTTGAGACTGTTTTTCTCACTTTAACATGTCAAAACAAACACACCTGGGATGTTTCCTCCTCCAAAGTGACATCTGCCCACTTACCTACAAATAGTCAGGGTCAAACTGCCCGTGTAAGCTCTCATCAGTGGAAGCAAAATGGATCAGATAAGATTTGGGGTCTCATTTAAAACTTTGTGAGTATCAAAATTGAAAATACTTAAAGGACGCATCATTTTCAGATTTGAACTTAATAATACCTTCTTGTTTTATCCAGTGTTTTTCATTGTTTGATCCTGAGGAGTGCGCTTTCCATTCAGAAAAGAGAATGGATTGATACCCCAACAGCAAGATTAACAGGTACAAATATTTTTCTGTGATAAAAAACAATTGGTTATGGTACTTCTTTCAAGTATTACCTCAGAAATGTTTTGCGTTTCAGAAGGAGATGTGTCATGTTTTTCTGATTACATGGAGATGTGGATTCACAATGCGAGGATTGAAGGGCTGGGGCTCTGGCTGTCTGGGGCCTTAAAGATCCAAGGTAGTTCTTTCTGACACAACAAGGGACAAAATATTGACATGGATATGAGATAAAATGCCTCAAAATCTCCTTTATCTTTCTGCAAGTCAACCTGGCTTCTCTGGATCAACTCAACCTGCAGCTGTCTTCCTGTGGACTCTCACTGCACAAAGACCCTGACAACAACTTTATTTTTAGAGTCAGCTACACTGGATGTTTGGTCCAGCAACAGGTAGGTCACTCTTTTAAGAAATATGTAATTCATATAAACAAAGCAGATAATTATCTGGTTGCTATGTATCTTTCAGCATGGCCATCATGTCCTGACACTGAATTTGGTGAAGAGGATAAACAGATTTGGAGGCAGACCTCACAGTGTGATGATGAAGTGTCCGCTGGTTTCTGTGCTGCCCAGCAGAGAGAAGATCCAGTGTGACCCGGAGTACATCCAGGTAACTGCCGACTGCAGTATTCATAACGTTTCACTGTTTTCATTGGACATTTCTACATCAAGTGTTTTGCTTTGTTATTCTGATACGATTTGTATTTGCCTGTAGGTGACCAGACAAGTTGCCTATGACAACTGGGACAATGAGGTAGACATTGAAATAAATCACTCAATGCTTTGATGAAATCACCCTTCAAAATATGATTGCATGACAAATGTGAACAAATAGCCTGCAGTGGAAGAAGGTATTAGGTAGCTCGGTATCTCAATAATCTAAACCTGCAAAGTAAGTGAAGCTGTCAAATGAACATAGTGAAGTATAAGACTCAATATTTTCCCTTAAGATGTTGCAGTAGAACTATAAACGAGCATACAATTAGTAAAGTAGCCTATTCAAGTAGGCTATTGTACTTGTGTTCATGTACTTAGCCTTCTATCAACCACTTGAAATACCTTTGAGAAGGTGTTTGGAAAATAAAAAGAGAACAGAGGAGTTTTGTCTCACCGTGGTTTTGTGTTTAATGTTTGCTGGTGCAGCTGCAGTGGTCTCTTTCTCTGAGCGATCAGCTGATCGTGGCTCTGGAGGACGCCAGCCTGATCCAGATGAACATCGACAGGAGAGGCTCAGACATCACAGTCCAGGGCAGGAGGGGGGAGGTTCTGAGCCCTGTCACAGTAGGTTTATCTTACAGCATCCTGCCACCTAGTGGCCTCTGGCAACATTACAACTGAGGTTCAGCTCATCACTGTGTTTTGGTCTGTCTGTGGTTCACACAGGTGATGGAAGATGAGGGGGACTTCTTGGCCTTGAAGCTGGTCAGTGGTCAGTACGCCTACAGTATGGAAGCTACATGCCCAAAAGGTCAGTACTGGAAGTTATTTTATTTTGTCTTCCCCTAAACTTTAGGGTGTTTACCCCAGTCAGTACTCTGTAGGTACTCAGATCCTGCATGAGGAAAAATCCTGCATTCAGACACCTACTTAAGTCAAAATATATATTTGGAAAGATATGGATGTATTTACAGGGTAATGAATATATGTGTATATATACATTCTATTTGACTCTTGCAGCCGGTCAAGGTGGAGCTAAACTTTTTAACTTCTTTATATTAAGTTTGCTATTGTTTTTTTTGTAGTATGTTTCCCCAAAGAAAGAGGGTTATTAGATAATCAACGAGGATTGGAAAGGAGAACAAACTAAGTTCTAATAAACACATTTGGATTTAGTTTTTGAAATTTAAATATGTTGTGGTCACAAGCCGGAAATCAATTATTTGAAAGCGCTCTAGTAACTACATCTGTTGTAAATATAGTTTTAAATATTGTAAAAATATAAATAAAAGAGCCTCAAAAGTGTGCTTGATTAAATGTAATTCCAGCAACTCATTGTATCCCCTTTCAGTGAACACATCCACCGCAGAGGAGACTGTGCTGCACATTTTCAAACGGCGTATGGGTCTAACCAAGCGAGGCAGCCGGGACAACGAAGCTCTGACTGTCAGTGACGTGTGGGTGAACCAGACGGATAACTTCACCTTGCACGAGACGAGTGCATTTGTGACACTGATTATTCCTACAGCCCAAATACTCCAGACCAAGGTTGGTGCTCATGGTGGTTCATTTTCTGTTTCTGACATTTCTTAAAATCTAAGTTCTATGTGTAATTTAAGGACTCATTATGGTGTGTTTGTTTTACAGACCTGTGCAGACAGCAAGCGCCTCCTGCAGCCGTTCTACCGGGTGGATGTTGTGCTCACCTTCAAAGAGACACATCACAAAATGCAGTGGAGCATGGAGAACACCCTGCCATGCACAGGTGAGTGTGCTGCTGATGAACACAGTAAAACTAAAGTGGTGATTAATTATGGGATGATATTTTGACCACTAGCCATTGAAAGGCTTTTACTGTGGAGTCACACCAGGCACTTACTTTTGTTTGTTGCTCAGTCAATTAATCATTGAACTTTATGTAGCACCTTTCAAACAATTCAAAGTGAGAACAGAGGTGATTGATGGAAAACAAACACAACAGAGAGAAATAAAACTTTAAAATAAAATAATACAATCCCATATTTTTGAACACCTAAAACGTTTAGAAAATGTAGATGCAGATAATCTTCATGGTGAAAAGATGTTCATCTATTTTCATCTGTTGATTTAGCATGTGTTTCCTTTGCATACAAACAAGTGTCCAGATCATAAAATCAATCAGATAATTAAGACATTTTTAAAAGACATCTTAAAAATATTCTGATTTCATTATTTATTTGAGTCTGAGTTGGTCTACATTAAAATGTTGCCACATTGTTCCTAAAAGTACAACTACACACTCCCTTTGTCAAAACATATTTATGAATAGTTATATTCTTTTATAATTCTTTTGAAAAGTTGAACTTACTGGGCACAATATTTCTTACATTCATTTACTGAAGGCTTGCAAGTTCAGCATCATGCTTGTGTGAGTTACATACTGGGTCATGATTGCCTTTTTCTGTGATGTGCGTATATGTCCACGTGTTACAATCAGATTTCCGATGAACACAGACATTTCCCCCCTTCAGCATATACATGTAAAAACAGCCTTCAAGTGTCAAACTCTGCACATACTTCTTCGTGAAGTTCAAACATCCAAGAAAAGTTAGAATAAACAAAACCAATTTCTGAGTGGAGAAGGACTTTAACTAGCAAATCAAGTTGGTGGAACGTTAAAAATACAGCGATGCTTTAGTTTAGCATGCTGAAAGAGACCACTCTTTATTTTTCTTAAATCTTAATCTGTACATATATGGCAGCCATTCCATTCCAGTGTCTGTTGAATTCAAACACAGAGAAATGTTGCCAGTAGTTTATAGAATAATAAAAAAAAGATTTTACTAAAACACATACCTATAAATAATAAAACCACAGAAACTGATAATGCTGCAGTGGTCTTTTAATTTTTTCCAGAGCTGTAAGTTACTAATGTTACTCCTTCAGCTGAAATCCAAATATTAGAAATATAGACTCATAAATATCATTTTTGAATGTTAATGAATTTACTGTAACTAAATTATGCAATTATACGTCCACAGCCAGGCCAGCTGCATCACACAGGACCCCCCCTCCTCCTGGTCCCAACACCACAGCCCGCTCCACTCTGAACTTTAAACCCCAGAGTTCAGCTACAGAACAGACGCTGTTGGACCGCTTAAACGTGAGAGCTCCATACAAAGAAACAACATCAACGTTTTCCACAACTATTTCACCTCGCACACAGACTGAGGACAGCAGCTCTCATTCCCACACTGATGATCTGTCAAAGAGTCAAAGTGGAAATGTGTCTTCTTGGTTTGACGGAGACACCAATTCAACTGAAATAAGCTTTTTTGATTTTCTAAATGTGACCATACGTACTTCAGGAGATTCAGATTTCCTTCAGTCATCAGCTGAACCATCAGAAACATCTGTCCTCCAAACAGCTGCACCTGAACCAGGATACCAACAATTCAACACAACACGAGGGAATAAAGAAAAGCAGAGAAGACTGAAGTGGATCTGGGAAGACTAGAAAACGGACAGAAACAGCACTATCCATTTGACCTAATCTCTATAATCTAAAGAAATCAACCTTTTCCAATATCCCATGATACAACCTGCATTTAATTTTAGGTGTAAGCTTGGCAAACAACATTTGAATCACCAAAGTAAAAGACTGATGTATTTAAATTCAAACACAATGTTTCCATTACTTAAAACTCCATATGTTTTTTTACATTTAATTTCGTTGGTCTTGTTTTTACAAGTGCCAACACACTACAGTTACAGTTTCATCGCAGTGACAACTTTTGCTTTTATGCATTTTGACTCTCATTGTCATTGGTGCTTTGTGTCTGTTTGCAGTCTTGAAAGGTGACGCTGTGGTCAGTCAGCGCTGTGAAGGTTGATTATACAAACAGAAATACATCCAGGCCCCTGCCAGCCGCTGCCTGAGGGGGGATATTATCCAGACGCAGACAAGGCAGGCGTTAAATAAACATGTCTCTACCCGAGCAGCACAACAGGCTGACGTAGAGAAGACCCTGCAGCCTGCCACCATCCAGAGAAGAGGCTCGTAATAAAGACTTTATATTTAACAGACACTTTAAACTGATTTTCAGAGACTTTATGTATCGACACATTACAAAATGGACACCTTTTAATTTTGTTTTTCTCTTCTGATAAAAATTAATTAATACATTTTCTGACCAAAATCAGCTGTGATGTTGCTAAATGTGTCTTTGCTGCAGTACACTGAACCAACAGGAGAGGGCACTGTTGCATGTGTTTTCAGAAAACCTCGCAAGGCCAGCAGCCTGCCTGAAGAGGCTCATTTTAACATTAACACATTTTACTTCAATTTATTTTCATTTTTTTAGTTACTATATGTCTTAATTGACAGATGAGCTGTATGTAAGTCATGACCACTGAAAATAGCAACATCTAGATGAAAGAAGATTTTATATTATTTTGAAGTCATCTTTGCCAATGTAGTTAAATAATTGCTTTAAATATATACCTTAAATGTATTTCTTGCCATCAATTATTATTTGGAGTGAAATGACTGAAGATGTTTCTCCTTTGTTCCCAGCCTTCTTTTCCACCTGTGTTATTGTGACCTCCTGGTATGCACCAAAGGGTCTGTAAATGATAACAGTGCAGTGTTACGCAGTTACATGCATCATATACAATGGGCTGTGGGGCAGAAAATCTAAACTTCCTTGTGCCTTTGGTCCCCATCTGCTCAGTGAACTTATGAGCAGGAAATGGAATGAGTGGTGCAAAAAGCACACCAACATCCCTGCTTCTTTCATGTGGCCTCTCTCGGTCATTACCCTATCTGTACCGACTGTTAACTGTCTTTACAAAGTTAAAAATCCCTTTCATGTTTCACTGTTTCTTTTTTGTTTTAATTTCAGTCAGAGCATATGGTTTGCACATCTGGGAGATGCTAAGCATGGTGGCACCCAACCTCCACACACACTGCTCCTGTGAAGTGATCCATATATGGTCTTCATTGTTATTGCTCATAATCACTCATCATTATTATAAACAAGCCCAGTCTTGATTGGCCGCTTTGAGTTTGCCGTGTAAAGATGCTCAATAATGTGAGCTTTCAGAATTTCAAAGGACCTTGGTGAAAGTGAAAAGTTTTGCTGTTTATTCACAGATCTGAAACACATCTGAGGCATCGTTCTGCACTCTGCCCTGCAGCTGATTAATCCCAGTGTCTTTGTGACCGGTTGTGCATGGGTCATCATTTTTTTTAAACAAGGACTTTAACAGTAAGTCCTCGCGTGGCCTATGTGCTTATCCTGATTAGATCTTTGTGATCTAATCCGAACAAACCTGCCTGAAGCTGCACAAATGAAATATTTCTGGGTAAAGTTCCCAGACCTCCCAGAGTGACCCAATAACAAGACTGGGCAACAAACTGTGAAGCTTGTATCATGTGACCACAAACAAGCAATCAGATCAGATCAGGAAATTTGATAAGTGCATCTCATCCCAGCTCATTTGAGAATAACCACATTTGATCCTTCATAATAGAAAGAGAGTGTCATTAACTGACTGGTAATTTAATGACACCAAAATGAAGTTAAAATTACTATTGTGGACAACTTTGGGTCATTAAATGCCACTTCAGCCTCCTCCTCGCTGCAGCGTTAGTTCTGGCGAGGCAGACGGGATGCCATGCCACTGGAGAGTCGTGGGGAGGATGAGGGGGAGGAAGGCTATGTGTGGCTTTGAGTGGTTTGCTGGGCCTCTTCATCTCGCTCGCCGGGTAATTACAGAATCATGGGTCAACCACGCATGTAACCACGGTTACGTTGCACAGTAGCAGATGTGCTCATGACATTATCCAGCACCAGAGCAAAAGGTAAATAAAAACAGATGCAGCTGGTTGCTACGGACCTTCGCCAAACTTGCGTACACCCCTAATTGTTCCCATGTGGGCCTGCTGAGCGGGCGTAGTAAAGGGGGCGGGTGGGCCCTGTTTAAGATATGCCAGCGTTCCTCAAGGGGAGACATTTATGAATGGGACAACGAGCCTTTGATGGTGGTTGTGGTGGTGTGTGTTTAATTGTGTGTTTATGTGTGTGTCTGGCATTCTATAGAGGGGCAATATCGTTAGTAGAAGTACAATTTCCCTCATTCTCTCGGCTTTTCTACAAGCATACCCAACGGACATGAAGGCCTACTGGTCCGATGCTTCCTTTGTCACACCGGGCCTGGATGTGTGTGTCAGTGTGTGCGTGACACTGCACAATGTCAGGGAGGTCCTGGCTGGACCTGAGCCAAGCCTGCTGCAGGCCAGATGAAATATAGAGGAAGAGGCTCGATTTCAGTGATATCCTGTCTTTGCTCGGCATCTGATTAGTGAACGCAGCCTGCAAGATCTGAGTATGTGTGTGTGTGTGTGTGTGTGTGTGGGTGTGTGTGGGTGTGCAGCTTTACAGGTGTATTTCTTGTTTCTGTGCAGTAATGACACACAGTTTACAGTAAAAGGAGGCCTCAGGTTGGACTTGAAATTCCTGATTTTAGGGCCCTGTTTTGATAAGTCGGTAAACAATTGTTTGACGTTTCCCACATTTTTTGTGTTGCTTCCGTTGATCTGTATGTGGTCTACCCTCTTCTTCACTACACACACACACACACCCTTACAAGTCTTACACTATGAAGCTCACTGCCAACAGTGCGTGCCTCCTCTCTCTCTCTCATTAACCGCAACTGTCAGATCCTCCAGATGAGGAGCAATTAAACCAGATAATAAACACTCGCCATCAATTCCTGTTTGTTGATGTTGTTGTTGTTGTTGTTGATGTCGACGAGCTCGGGGCTCCTCTCCTGCCACCTTAGTGCTAACTAGTACTTGAGTAACACACGAGAGCAGCAAAGGGGAGAGTCCTTCACAACAGTAGAAAGGCCTCTACCTGCCGCATGTATGGCAACGCCGGGCTGATAATAAAAAAGGAACAGTGAATGTTAACAATTAGATCCTAATCAGACACAGCTCACAGAGGCTGCTCTTTTATCCCCAGGCTTCACAGAAAAGGCAAACAAAGCGCTGCAAACTGTCAAGATAAAACACTACTTGGGATTGGCCGTGTCTTAGGGCTTCTTAAAGGGCAGTAATCTTGCCGTGTGCTGCTTCCTGAGACGACGTGCTGTAAAGACTCCTGTGTTTGCTCTTGTATTGGAATGATAAGGCCTCCTCCTCATCACGCCTCGCTCCTGACGATGCTCGTCTCCCCTGGCGATGAGTCGGTGGGGCCGTGTTGAGGAGGGGACAGAGAAGGGGCCAGCAATGGAGGTTTTTTTTTTCACTGTATGTGTTTGGGAGATGATAGAAAGTTGGAAAAAAGTTCAAGTTAAACCTGAATCTTTTCTGTTAATTTGAGTCTTGAATAAAGGAGTTTGTATATACAGTAAAGGAGCTTTTAATACAGCAATGAACTGCTAACCATAGCTCATGCAGCAAAACACTACATGTCTTCTTTTTTTCTCCCTTGTCAAAACATGGGGCCTACATTACCCATAATGCAGCTTTATTACCAGCATCGATTCAGTGTTATGCTAGTAGCACCTGATGTAGCCTCGAGCTGCTAGCTTCAAGCAGAGAGCCAGCAGGGATCTGGTAAGATCTATATTTTCTAACTCCACTCCAGATTGTTTTCCATTTCAAACTGTCCACAGCTCACACTGAAACTTACTGAAGTGAGTTTAAAAACACATTGGTCCAATTTCTCTCTACTTCCCCTAATATCACAAATTACTCTACTTCCCAAAATATACACATGTTTGCACATGCAGTTGTACTTCCCAACAACTTTAATCAGACTTGTGTGAATTCCCCTTAATTCATACTTGTATAATATAAAACGTTGATGACCTGTATTTGTTCTAATGAAATGAACTGTAGTTGACCTCAGGAAAAAGGCATATGTGCACATATACACTCTTGATTGTTCAGCTTGTAGAAAAAAATGACGTGCCTGGGATGGTTTTCCACTTAAATTTGAAGGCCGGACAAAGCATTCTTAGGATTTTAAAGACAATGCCCTTTCTTTCGAAGGCTATAAAAACATGTATACAGCTGTACAAGGAGTTTCCTGATCCAGAGGCAAAATATGGTGTCAGATATTCCTATTACCAATCAGGATGGCGTGGCCTGGAAAGAAATCTACAAGATGAAACTGTGGCTTGTTTAAAAAAAAGCAGAAAAAAAGATCTGATTTCCCTTTCTCTGTGGAAAAATAGACATGGCCTGTTGTTTTGAAACTATATTTCCCTCAAAAACACTCTGAAAACTAAACAAAATTGACAGTGTTGGATTTATTGTCTTGTGCTCTTTTGTCTTTGGCTGCCGCTGTTTGTGCCTTTGCCATGGTAACGGCAAGGTTATTTATCTTTACAGCCCTTTTACAATAACGTCCCTTTCCTGACCAAACAACAGAGGAAATATCAGGTCAAGCCTCTTCCCCTTTCTAATGATCAGGTCAGTTCAGCCTCAGTATTTCAGACGTCTCATGCACATTCACACGTGTGCCCGCAGTGCCTGGCTACTGATGTGAAATGTACAGTTTGTGATTAACATTTCCGTCTTGTTAGTGTGTGAATGTTTTGTTTAGACCTTTTGTGTTCAAATGGTAAAGGAAATGGGAGGCGATGGTTTTCTATTTATGCTCGGCATGTTCGAAAGCTCAAAAAGTGACTTCAGGCAGAAACACTAGATGGAGACAGAGAAAACTGACTCCCAGGTTTCATTTCAGAAAGAGAATATACTGTTTGAAACATTAAATATGCTGTCTGTTTATTTTCATTTTCTCTTGAATTCTTATGTGTTTATTAAAACTTCTCTTGAAATTAGGAAATGCGATTAATTGTATTCGTTCTGAGAGCTGTATTCCTCCTCTTCAAAGGGTAAATCTAATATTTTCCCAGATAAAATGTGCTCTGTGTGCAGTCATCTGCAAACATCTTGCATATCCTTGTGACTTGTGTATACTGCAGAATACTCTAGCTGTCGGGTGCTGTCCCCTGTCTTAACAGCAATTACTCCTTTTAAGGAGCTGTTCTCGTGAAAGTTGCCGAGAGTATACAGTATGCAGACTACTTTCCTCAATCCACATAAACAGCGCAGATAACAGAGGAAACTGACAATTCAGATGAGGAGGAATAGGCATAAAAGCATGAGGTGCGTAGAAAGTGCATGTCACAATTAAATTACTTAATGGGCGGAAGTACCACGATAGATCACATGAAATTTGCATCAAGAGTCACTGTGATAAAGACTTTGTAAAACTTACATTGAAATTCAATTAGAGTGTTGAATGCATAACCAAAGCCGTGAAAAATGAACTCATTGGGGGTCCCTTTTCATTACTGCCCTCAGGCAAAAGAGACCATTAATTTAATACATTCCATGTTTTTTCACATGAGCATTTTTAAGTTAGTGCACATTTCCGTCCTAATGTATCTAATACAAA